AAACATTTTTCAAACGCCTAAACCACAAATTGACCACTGGTCCTTAAAAAGCGATTATCTGCTACTTTCGTAATAGCTATACACAAGTGCCGTATTATTGCTAAAAAAGTTGAGGTTAGTCTTTTAAAGAAATGTATGGCATTGTGAAGGTTAGTTTTTTAAAAGAACTGCTTATCTTCCTTAACATCAGTATAATTATATTATGGTTTGACCTAATTGGCAAAATGCGTTATTTTAAGACTCTGTTAACCCGTATAAGATAGAATGTAAAGGGCGAGCATGGACGAACACGAACAAACGAACGTAAAAAATACATTTTCTAGAACCAGTCCTTTGACGAATTTTCTATTCTATAAAGAGTTAGCAATCGCAATAGGGGAAGCCTTTTTGTCGTAAGATTAACTTGACTGTTCACTCGAACTTCGAAAAGTTCAGACCTAGAAAAACGTGTAGTCGGTGCTGGTGGCTCCAGTGGCGGAGAGATGGCATGTACAGCTAAGCATTTGGTCCAAGCCCCTAGAGCGTTAAGAAGACTGCCTAGCAGAAGAGAATATCGGAGTCCACCGGGATAAGCAAGGAGACGTGCAGCAGGAACAACCAGAGGAATGTAGGCTAACATGTAGACCATGGAGAGCCAATCGAGTGGGTTCTGGGCTTCTGCTGGGCTGCTGCCTGAAGCCGGACGAGGTGGAGAAGGAAAAGATCGCAATTTGAATTATGATTAAAAAAATAAAGGCAATAAATAGATATTGTAAAGAATTATGCCCAAAGTCAATTTTACTCTGACGCGCATGATCGAAGAGACCCTAAGTAAGCAAAAAGATTAGTCTGATTGAGACGATAATCAGAGCTATAATTTTGATGTAAAATTATGCTCTTTTATAAAAAACGGAAATAGAATGCGGATTTATCATTAAGTTTCCATAATAATCCCCGAATGGATCCCAAAAAATGACTATGAATACGTTCCCAAAATAATTATGGCGGTACTAGAGGAGAAGATGCACAAATGAATACCAGGGAGACAAATTCACGAAGTTTTTTCATCCACTTTTCCAAACGAAATGAAAGGCGTGAAAACACTGATACAAATATATGGAAAAACTAAGCTACTAAAGTACAGACTCGGTTGATTTAAGGCCATGTAAAGCAAAATAGAATAAATATAAGAAGGCCTAGAATATGCAAAAAAGGAAGGTAATACAAATGGAAATGTTATACTTGATATCTAATTATCTTAAAATAAGATATGGTAAGTATAGCATAAACTAAAGTATGTAATCCTACCAAACAAGCTAAAATTATGAAAAATCGCATTCTGGAGCCCT